TTTTTTCTATATAATTTAATATATAAGGCCATTGAATATATTATCAATCTTTAGAAATTAATTTCTTGATTAATCGTATAATATAAATTGTTTTTTATATAATGCATTCTTAGAAATTAATCTTTACGAAAAAAATTTATTTTTGCGCAATTTTTTGTACAATTATTGCATAATATATTTATAAAATAGCTTTCTCTGATCATAAAATCAATTTTTGTCTCGATTACAAAATCACGAGTTATTTATTTACATCTCGAATCAGCTTTATTTGATACGAAAAATTTTAAAAATCTGTAAAATTTTTATCTTGTTCATTCCTCAAGCAATAAGCTTAGAATTAAAAACCTTCTTCCGAAAATGCTCGCGATAAAAAATATTATTAATCGTACGATTCGTAGATTGTAATTCGTAAAAACGTGAATGCAACTATAGGAGAAATGACAGCGATTTATGTAACACTTACGTGCAGTTATCATTAATTTAAGATTAATACGAAATGTGAAAGTTTCGAGTGGCGTCTGGCCGTGGAAACGCCGGAGAATAAGAAAGTAAGAGCACAAAAACAGATATACGTAAGCACTTATGCATCTATTGATGCTATTATTGACTTTTGTATAAGGACGGCGTTACGTGCTATAAATTAACATGAGTAAATTATGTAAAAGCTACATTAACGAAGACAAAATCACATAAAAAAATATGTCAAACGGCACCATTCAATTTAAAAATGACGATGTATATAAAGATTATCAATTTTTATCCAAGATGTTCCACGTAACTTGCAATTTCTCCAGAATACTTTCTAATGGCATTAATACCGTATATTACATTAACAACTAAATTACTAGTTTCTCTCTTTCTCCCCTTTTATTTATTTTAAATAAAATGATTTTATTGATTATTAATTATTTATTAAGTTGTTTAGAAAAATGCAAAATAATTAAAAAATTAAAAGTTACAATCTTAAATGTATAGTTACAATCTTTAATGTTTATAATTTTAAAAAATTTATGTATAAAAGTTTTTTGTATTTATAGAAACATATTCTTAAAACTATAACTTTTTTTTACTCTTTTATTATTCACATTTTCAACATCCACACACACACACACACACACACACACACACACACACACACACACACACACACACATTACTGTAACTTATATTCGAACGATATTTATAAACGAAAAACATGATTATATCAAACCGTCTTTCTTTCATAAATCCTCAAATATCAAAGGCTTCAAATAACACAGTTTAATATTTGTAAAGCATATATTTTTATATTCTAACTTATCCTATATCTAGCTTTCTTAAGTTTCATATAACTTTATTTTTTCACTCCTAAAAACGTGCCAGCAATACGTTGGAATGAGCACACAAATCTATATAAACATTAGAAATGAGTAAATAGGGACTTGGTCACATTTCGATACCGTTTTCAGGTATATTCGAGAGAGGTTGTCGCGAATGTTCTCTCGCAAGTGAAGCTTTACGAGATACCATTCGCAGCACGTGAAAAGAAGTCGCCAATGCGCACCGATAACGACAACTTTTTCGCGAAGCAGACTCCGAGAGAGCAAGCCGCTGCCTCTCAAGCCGACGTTACACAAGCCGCCTTTCCGCTCTGTCCGGTTTAGCCGCGTGCATTTACCCGTGTTGTTATATGTCTACCTGCCCGCCTGTGTCGTTGCCTTGGCCTTTGCGATTCTCGGAACGATCTTCGCTCCGATCTATCGATCTGCAATCTACGGATGCAGGTACCTGTACACCGACGTAGGCGCCATAGTCCAAAAAATATTAACCGGAAAGTACTTAAGACGGCACTTAAGTCAGCTGGATATCTCCCAGGAAAATAGATTATATTTTGAAAAGTATGACTAATCTTTATATATATATATATATAAAATGCATCATTTTGTTGATAATTTATAGAGTACATGAATTAATTATATAACAAATGTGTGAATCATTGTGCACGTAATAAAGAATATCTTGAAAGAAACGGCAATCATTAACATTTTTTCGATATCATACAGACGTTTTGTCTCGAGTATGAATCAGACGTGAAGCGAATTGATAAATTTTGAATTTTTTTTTGTTGCATACCCACACACATACGATGATGTAACGTGTTATTTAATATGATGTTGGATTTGCATCGATTAATTCCACGACTTGAGCGCAGCTTCTTCTGCATCTCGCTCGCCCTGTGACATTTTCATCGTGATATTTTACCTCGCGATTCTCTAATTACATAACTTGAAAGTACAAATTTTTATCGCAACCACTTTTCTGTATTCCATGTATCTCGCGCTCCTTTGACGGAGAATAAAGAAAAATGTTCGTTGAGTCATCCTATTCAGCATGTGACATTTCCAACGCACCATCTTTCTTCTCATATTATCAAGCATATTAGCAAAATTATTATATAATCCCGATATATAACTATTTTTTTGTGTTACATATTTTTTTTCCAAGAAAAGAATTAATTGTTTATTTATCTTTTATAATATATTTTTTTTCGATTATTATATATTAGTAACATCTTAAAAAATAATTTTTTTAGTGATTTTTTATCTAAAAATTCCTTTTTTATGTTGACAATACACGTTTAAAAATCTATTAAAAATCTATATTTTATTTTTATTTCCAGCAATCTTTTTACAATAAATTTCAAAATAATCATTACAAAATCGTCTTTTCTTTGTATTCAAAGTTTCTTTCTTAGAAGAAAAAAAACTTTGAAGAAAATCAAAGTTTCTTTCTTAGAAGAAAAAAAACTTTGAAGAAAATCAAAAAACCTTTATATTATGCTAACAATAAGAATTGAGCACACAATCAAAGAAAAAGCTCCAGGGAATAAAAAAACAGTTTACAATAATAATAATGAAATCTATTGTAACAATATTAAAATATGTTGCAGAGAAAATGCAATGTCATCTTATCAGATAAAGTAATACCATAGTAATATCGGAATGAATCATATATAATGCATCCATAGTATATATATTACAGATGCATTATATGTGATTCATTCCAATATAACTGTGACGTACTTCGCTAAAATGACGTTACCAAAATTTTAATTACAATAAAAATCCTCAATAAAAATTCGAATGACGTATACTGCTAACGCGTCATTATTGCCAGACTGCAAGTGACGTCACAACAAGAGAGACGCGAACAAAGAAAGTATAGAGTTCTCTTACGTGTTTAGACACAAGATCCGTCAAAGAAAAAAAATCACGTGACGTCACATGATACTCTGCGTGTGACATTTCCAGCGTGGCCACTTTCGTGACCTTCGCTTTCTTTGTCACCAAGAAAGCTACAGACGAGTTTTAGGTATATTTAACGAACAATGAACACAATGAAAAACAAACATGAAGAATGAAAAAGAAATTTTCCATTTTGGAATGCCTTATATTTACTATATTTTATTTATTTTTTTACTTTGACTTTATCTTTGTCAAAATAAAAATGCTATTAATTAAATTAGAATCGTATCGAATTGAGTGATAACAGCCATTAGTTTCACCGAAAAAAACGCGTCAAATTATACGAGATCGAGATAAAAAGAATTATGCAAAATTAAATACAACTGTTGTCTGTATTTTCTCTTCTTTTGCCTACTTCTTTTGCGTCTAATTGTGAGACAGCAATGCAAGACGTGATGTTGCAAGCAAACACCAGGTCCCTGGCTGTGAGCAGAAACGTTCTGCGCACCACATGGTACACCCATGCGCTTTTCACGTGCTTTGCCATAATACATACTCGCGTATTCCCATGATAATGGATCATATATGCTACGCATGTGCTAAGAATACCCTCGACTACCCATTCTCTTTATTCTTTTTTACCCATTATATTCTATATTCTTTTCTCTTTTTTCTGCCTTTGATGAATTTTAAAACGTATCCTCTCTTCCTTGAAATTGCGAGAGATTATCTTCATGTTATCTTATCTTCATATTAACTTTTATGGATTTTTACGAAAATACGTAAAGAAAAAAAGAATCAGTTTCTCTTTGCTAGCTTTTATAACATTCAAGTATGTTAATAGGACGAGTTTATCTTAAGGATAAAATTTGTTTCTAATAACTATACATACCTTTTTGTTTACGTCATTAATCGTACATTTAATTCTAATCATATTCGCATATCATATTCCAAAAAAAACAATTTACGATTAATTTAATAAATTTTAAACCATTTATCATGGACAAAAAACTGGCAGTATTTATTATAATGATATTATAGCTATCTTTTGATTTTATCGTCTCATTATTAAAACTTTACAAAATAAAATTAAGTAGTTAGAGCAATAGTCTATACACATGTTTAAAATCTCGTTATGATTACTGAAATATTATTTTCTCTAATATTGCAAAAATATGAATTATGAAATGTTAATATACACAAAAAAATAGAAGCTTATAATATTGTAAATTATATTAATTACATATAATATTATATGTAAATTATATGTAATTATATGTAATTATATATAAATGATAAATTAAATAAATTATATAAAAAAAAAATTATATAAAATTATATAAAATTATATAAAATTATATATAATCGCAAAAGTATTTAAAATATAATCTATTTTTATATTTACTACTACTTATATTTACTATTTTTATATTTACTACTACTATTTATAGTGTAAATGTATCAAAAACGTTTATCCTACAAAAAAACAGATAAAAAATACTAATCATAAATGATAAGAGTGCATAAATGATAAGAATGCATACACATTCGACTTATTTTTAGATTAATCTAGAGATTTCACGATCAATTATATATATGGTTGTGTCTAGATCTAGCCGGGATCTTTCTCTTTCTCATGCACACGCCCTTCACAAAGAACCCGCATGTTTGATATTTCTGTATATAGCTCAGCCATCATAACGAAAACTGACTCCCATTAGCTGTTATATTTAGTGGCATGAGAATCTATTCAGGGTTGAAAACACCTCTCTGAGAGATGAGAGATTTGACAGTTCACCCTCATGAACCCATATGTTACGGCGCACATCATGATACTCCTTAATTAGATAAGAGTCAGATTTTCTGCCTGTCGTGGATGGTCGATTAGATCTGCGATAAGTAGCTAAATTTTACCGCGTGACTAATAAATATCTTCAATTTGTTATCACAAATCGAGTTTTCGAGTTTTCAAACATTATAGATATTTGATATGGTTTAAAATTTATTAAACTATTTAATTTATTTAATTATTTATTATTTTTTATTTTTATTACTTAATTTATTGAATTATTTTCTCTCTTTCAAATAAAAGAATTTTTTTAAACTTTTAACTGATTAAACGATTAAAAATGAAAATAGCTTTTCTCAACTAATAAACTCATAAATTGTTTTCTCTTTTAGGAAAAGATAAATCTTATCGCTTACCTTACAAACGAGATTTCTGTTCAACACTTGACCTTTTAATCAAGACTTGACATTGCGCCTCCGTGAAACTGGTAAGAATCCAACTTCCTGATCGCGCAACTCAACTTCCGGCTTTCCCTCCTTGCGAAATGTTACTTCCTCTTTCGACCCTCGAACCAGTATCATTGCACGATTCTGTAAACAAGTTTATTTCTGTTTTAGTTAAGAAAAAATAAACTATAATTATTGATCAAATATTGTAACGGTTTTCTCTAAACTGATATTGCTTTCACATGTTTTCATTACACACACATTTGAATAAATAAAATATAATCTTTAAATTTTTAATTTTTTCTCAATTTTTTATAATCATTAAAAATATGATATAAAACATACATTAATAAATTTAACTAATTTATTACAGAGTATAATTGACAATATTAACTGTATTTTGTTGAAAACATTTGCTCGTATTGATAATAATTGTGATGCATGCGCTCATTTATTATTATATATTATAAAATTTGCATGATAATACATTTTATGACTTCTTTTTCTTTTTATTTTTTTACTAAGAAATTCTAAAATGTATCTTTATATTGCAACACTTTGTTAAATTGATTTACCTCTAATAATAATTTCGACAATGAATCAGTTGTTATAAACAATTGCTATCAGCAACGTACACGTTTATAATTATAAAATCTTAACACAGAAATAAATAACAAAGAAAAAACGTAGACTTACTATTGAATTCGCAACATTTATGCACTCGAATGCATTGTCGAATCGACAGTTGCGACAACTGTATCGAAATTCTAGAATAGTTACATTAGATAGTAACCTAACGATCTCACCCATAGCTATCTTCAGCTCGGATCTTTTTTCCTGATTGTGAACGTTATTTTTTGAAATAACGATCGAATATCATATCAATGTTTCAACAATCTTTACGACTTTAAAAAGCATATATCTTATTTTTCTCGACAAATAGATGCGATCTGTGATAACATTCATCCATAGATCACCAAATGCAAGATATGTTCAAAAAAATTCCAGTCTTTCGTACTAAAAAAGCCTTTTCATAAAAATATTCCTTTTCTAAATCCTTGTACGGTAATATTTATCTGTGAGAATCTTTTTACATCTATCATTATTTAAAAAAACAAGCTCTCTAATAACGAAATAACAACTCCACGCAACATTTAATGAAAAAAAGGATTACTTCGAGAGGTCTCAAAGCCGTGCGTCGTCCATCGCTGGAATCCCGCATTATGCGTGAGCAAGCGCAGGATCCGGGGGAGACGCACCCCGAATCTACCCCCGAATCTGCCCAATGAGAAATCGGGACCGCTACCATTGGAGACCGTAAAACTCGCACGTTGCGACACCCGGGAGCCGACGTGCCGACAGAGAGAGGACAAGTTGACGCGGCCGAGGGAACGCGCTAGCAAGAGGCGCACGCGCGCCGCCCGGTTGCCACGTCGAGGACTCCCCCCACCCTTCGGCCGCGCGGTCCGCGAGACGCGCGGCGATTGGTCGGCGCGCGGAGCAGCCGTCTACGCTCGCTCGCCGGAGCACAAGCGGCGACTCTCGGTCAGCGCTAGTCTCAGTCAGCTTTGGGAGGCTCTGCCGTGAACATTGAATCGGTCGAACCGGACGCAAAACACAATCTCTCTCCTCCCCTGTCCCCCTCTCGATAAATTTCCTCGCCGAGAGAGAGAACCGGGTGCCCTCGCGTCGTCGAAACAAAGTGCCAAGTTCAAGTTCAGTAACACGAAGACACTCGGTTGACGACAACAACGATACATGTACACGTCTTGAGGCAATAACATCGCTCTCTGTGTTTGTTGTCGATCCGCGAAGAGAGCCGGTCGATTCGTGCCAGGAAACGCGAATCGGTTTCTCCGTACCTCGCTTCGTCCGCGTTTATCTCGAGATAATAAAAAAAAACGATCCGGCATCGATACACGTGTGTCGAGCGAGACGCGTTCTTTCTCTCCCGTCACGTTTTCGCGGGTGCTTTCGATGCGAGCTACAGCGGCATCGTACAACGACGTATACGGTCGGAGTGGCAGTTTTATTGTGTTGTCCTGAGGAAAGTTTCTCTCCCTTAACCGCCTGCTACGCATTTAACGTCCGCCGCGAAGGACGAGAAAAAGAGGAAGAGGGATTTTGGAAGAAGGAAGGCAGAAAACACAAACATCACGCACAGTGTTTTTGTGCGAAATCGGGGAACATGTCGACTGCCGTCATGAGTACTCCCATGTTCGAGTGCAGCGAACATCTTTTCAAGGTAAGATTCGAATTTTTTTTCAAGTGCAATCGATCGAAATTGCGCCTAGTTTCCGTGAGTTATTTCAAAATTGTATAAATGTTTAAAATTGTACGTGGGCGTACATGCAAGATACAATAGACGAGATGAGCTTTATGCTTTAATTCTATATATTGATGAAAAAAAAAATGAATGAGACCTTCGAACGGTATTGTGATGTATTTCAAGGTACGGATTCTATAACTACAGGTTTCTTACCGAATTTCTCCGAAATTTTCCTTTCTATCTCTCACCTTTTCTTGCTTTATGTATCCCCGCCTACCTGCTTTTCAATTCAAGACAGATTCACAGCCGGATATCTACAGGTAGATAGGTATACATTTGGAACGAACAGAAAATACGAAACTTCGTCGTTAAATTTGAACGAACTCGAATACGTTTAGTTTGATTTATTCAAGTAATATGTATATAAAAAAATTAAAAATTTAATGAAATAAATTTAATAAAATATTAAATTAACAAAATATAAATTTAATAAAATAAATTTATTAAAATATAAATTTAATAAAATAAATTTAATAAAATAAATAAATTAGAAATAAAATTAAAAATAAATGTATTTGATTTTTTTACATGATTTTTTCACACTTTTTCGTTGTTTCTGTTCGTTCAATTTTGTTCTGCAATTTCAAGATTAATATATAAAATTGTTTTTTCACGACGCGTTTTTTTTTGTAAATAATATTTCCGAGATGTCATAATATTCATCATGACATTATTTGAGGCTGAATAATTTAATTTAATTTATTTCTCCCAAAGAAGTGAAAAACCTTGTCAGACGTACATAAGTTTTCTTTCTGTCTGAAATCAAAAGGCCAATCAATTCATTCTCTCCACTCATATGTATATAATTACAAGTTTCGCGACGACTTATTACATTTTGTATATGTATGAGAGCGTTTATGTGTCAATTATTTTTTTCTCTTTTTTTTTTCTATACGAAATACAAAGCGAGATAAATCAGATACGTGCGATATCCCCGGGAATTATTTACGAGATACCATCGAAAATATGTAACGTGTGTTCGCCAGAACATTATAATTCTCGATCGTCGAGATATCGAGATTCGGTATAGTTTTTTTTATGTGCTTAGCAGATTAAATCTCATTACCATCACATTCGAGTTCCCGATATTTGCGAGGATGTGCCAAACGATGCAGCTCGATTTCCTGAATCGAGATTTCGCATGAGATACCGGAACAAGGTTACAAGTCGAGATAACGTAATTTCGCACGTTTGAGCGGAAAAAACATCGGTCATGAGGGATGACTGAATCGAAAGAGGTCATTAGTTTAATTCTACGCACCAATGATAATCAAATATTCACGCATAATCAAAAATTCACGGAAAATTGTTATCGAAGTAATCTTGTAGCAAATCAATTTAAATGACATATTGTAATTATACATTTTTTATAATTTATTACATCTTAAACTCGTCTGTCATTTATCACTTTATTAACGATAATCTCTTTTAGCGAATTCAATTAAAAAGGCCACCGTATATAAATTTACAATAGCATAAGTGATTGAAATAGTAAGATAATTGATGCTATTTATTATTGTTATCTGTATTGAATAACAATAACGATAACACGTAGTATTAATTATCTTATTGTTTTAATTAATCACGCCGATGTAAATTTATATAATCGAGAATCTATACTGTTATATATCTTACAATCTCGAAATATCAATATTTTTTCATCACATATCCGTTATCAATATCTTGATTCAAATTGTACCGATACACAGTGGTATTTTCCAAATTTTTTCCCTTGTTTTGCGTTCTTAAATATTTTCGATTATTTTAGAAATGATTAAATTATGAAATTTTACTTTTAATTAGAAATATAATTTTGATATAATTTCGGTCACTATATTTCATTTAAAATTGTATCTAATGTTTAAAATGTAGATGTATAAATTGAGTTTGATTTGAATAAAGTTGTAAGAAATTACTTATGTTAATAACACAATACTAGCTCCAACGGGATGCCAGTCGAATGTATTAATAGTAATCGTCGTCGTTGACGTCGCATTTTCCATCTCGCGCCGAGAGGCCTTCATCGCGGATGAAGATGGGAGGATCGCGCGTTCTCGCACGACGTAAATAAAAGGCTTGTCGCGCGAGTCGAGCCAGAGAGACTCTCACCTTAGAGAGAACTAGGCACAACACTCTCCTTGGTTTCTCCTCCGACGTGAGTTTCTCTCACGAGCGTTGGATTTAAGAGGAAACGTGGAATGGAACGTGATCGAAAGATCTAATACTTTAACGTCATTAAAACCCGATGACAGATAATCGAGTGACATGTGATTGATGACAGACCGATTTAACGATCGAAACATTGCTGGTTTTTTCTATTTTTATCGTCTCGATTTGTCAATATCGAATTTGTTTTGATCAAAAATAACGAGTTATTCGAATAAAATGTATTTCAATTAATTATTCCCATTTGGATCAAAATCGAAAAAGAATATCGAATTAATATTAATTGCTTGAAAGAGTAGTTAATTTTCTATGATGCATCTATTGTTTCAATATGAAAAGACAATCTAATTTAACGAAAGCTACTGTCCCGTTTTCACTTTAATTAAAAATACATACATAATTAAATATGACACGTCTTTCACGACTTCGTTATATTAATTAAATTAATAACAAAGCATTTTTTATTTGTTAAATATATTTTACATGATTATATTTATTCGTACAAGATTTTATCTAGCATTTAAGGTATAAGATATCAATTATTAATTTTATTTTTCTCCAAGAATAGCCAAATATAAAATAGGATCAAGATAATATCACGATAATATTAATTTAAATAACGATTTTTAATTTAAATATTGATTTTAATATTAATTTAAATATTGATTTTTCCCTGAAAATTAATTAAAATCAATCAATATATTAATAATCATTGAATCAATTTATAATTTAATTCAGCTACTGTTTCGTTTTTTTTTCTTTTTTCTTTGTAAGTACTGAAGAATTCTTAACAATTGCGAGCATTGTTGGCGTCAGAAGTATTATTTTCATATTTCATCGATTCCCTCTCACGAGGAGATACCGCTGACACGTGTCAGCAGGAATTATTCTCCGCGCACGGAATATCACTGGTACTTGATGGTACCACTTGTACAATACGCATACGTGTATTGGAGCGTGTTGGATTAACAAATGCATTCTCGCTCTCGCCATTCCGTTCCGACTGCACGTATGCTCGATTGCGTCGTAGAGTGCGTCAGAGTGCGATGGAGATGGGGATTTTTTATGCGTTTTGGTACAGTGAGCCTCTCTCGAGCGCACGAGCCGAAGCGAATATGAATATTTAATCGTAAAAGTTCTATAGCATACTCATTTTAATAGAAACGAGTATAAAGATGTTAGGCGAGACTTGAATTTCCGGCAAAGAAAAGTAAATATATGTACATCGTTAACGAATGAGACGTATTCATTAAATATAATTTTGCTAATGAAAGGGAAACAACTCAGACATGAGACGGCAACAATACGAGCATTATTATTCTTTGCAATCAAAGTATCGCTATTCCTTTTTAAAATAACCGACGTGTCTTTTCACAAACATATGAGACTTCTAAAAATTGATCAATGTTAAATATATCGAATATACATTGAAAACAAAATTATTATCTTATTGTTCGGTTGATTATTTGTTTTTAATTGAAATATTTAAATATTTGAGTCAAATAAATGTTTCAATCAGAGAAATAATATTCAACGCTAAACACATTTAACTTTTTTAGTGTGGGCTATGCTATTGTTTAATTTATAAAAAATAGAATTTTAATTGAAAGGAAATATTATATGTTTGTTATCGGACAAAGAAATCATCGCTTTTCATATTTCAGCTTTTCTGAGGCTATGCCATAGATGGTCTATTGAATTTGTATCCTAATGTTTTATTTATTCTCGAGTTTCACATGTCGAACGGATGAGACGGCTGCTTTTGATATGTTTGCCCTGTGTTTTGCGTATTTATGTAGACTTTTTGTGTGACCTTAACGCGATTATTTGCTGCGATCTATTGTACGAAATTCCTACAGTAAGGTCTTATGATCTTATCAATATTGATGTTTCCATAATTATTAGGACACATTGTATATAAAGTTGTACAAAAGAAAGAAAGAAAGGGAAAGAGAGATTATGATCAATATTTATTTTGCTATTATATTTTGATATATTTGAAACTAGAAATTTTTATACACGTTAAAAAGATATCAGATCGTCCTTGTAACGATATTACCATGTAACGATATTTTCTCGTTTCAATTTGGCACCTATAAAATAGATGTACCTATATTTAGAATGAAATTGTCATCTCATTATGTTCTTTATGCAAATTGACACATGTACGCAATTATGGGTTTATCTTTATGTATTTCCATTTTATTTTTATCGCAGCGAAAAACGGAGGAGAAAAATGATGGACCTCGACTTTAATTTAACGTAACGCGCAGATTTGAATAAGTGAAAAACACGATAAATGTGAATAATAAATAAATAAAAACTGCGATCATTTTAAACGCTTCTCATACATATATGTATGCCATTTCGATTAATATTCAATTATCGAGGAATACAACCTATATTGCAAAAGAAACGATTACGATCTCTCTGTAAATATTATTTTCATCCGTTGTTTATCCTTCGCTTGTCCATTATGGGGAATAATACAAGGATACGCGCGGTTGCTTCACCCGGAGATCTTGCGAAACCGTCATTTTTTTTTCTGCGTTTATATACAATGCGGTATCTATGTCTATGCGTTATCTATCGTGCTCGTAAGCGATTCTAATCGAGAGATAAGACGAGGAGGCCTCGGTATTTTTCCTCTCGATCGACGTCCAATTTTAAAGCGAGAAATTGGCCGATGACAGGGCGGATGTTTGATATAAAATTCTCGATAAAGAAACGACCGCTGCCTTTTTTATTTG